AATGGGATAAAAGTGGAAATTTAGAGGTTTAAAGCTGGAAAACAGCAGCCATGTTTGCATGCAAAGGATTGTTAGGAATGGACAATATAGAACAAGCTAACAAACCATGTTGTTAAATCCTTGGAGGTTCCTCTCCCCCAAGAAAAGACTGAATTAAAGTCCTGGATCTAAAGCTATTGACAGAAAAATGAGCTAGATGGGTCTCTTCTCATTTGTCCTGGAGGCCCAATGCATCTTCTGACTTTTCAGTCCAGCGGAAATCTCAATTGCATCATTTTTTAATTAATCTCATTATGCATTTGATTGGACTTACTTAGTTCCTCTCAGCTCTTGCAACATTTCAAACAGTTTTCCAGTTAAGGGTTAATTAGGACAGTGACAGCTCAGAATGAAACTAGTGGGTCTCTGAAGCCTTGATGAAGACTCCCTGGTGTTCAGTCAGTGTGGCAAAATGCCACTGCAGTTTAAGGTTAGGAGCTTTGCTGATGCACTGTGCTTTGTACTATAGTTACACCAAAGTGGAGTGGTTTGACATAGCATCATGTACAACTGATATCTGTTAAGAGTGGGTCCATCATACACCGTTCGTCCACAATAACATCCACAGCTTCACAACAGCATCAAAAGCTACAGCCTGACAACTCCAAAAGCAAGAACAGCAAAACCTCCCAACAAAAACAACAGCAGCATCAACAGCTGCAGTCTCACAACAAGAGCAACAAGACAAATGAGGACCAATCTGTCATGTTATTTTTACTTGACCGCGAACATCTCAGGCACAAAGCTGCCAAAACGCTCTCCTCAGAAATTCTCCTCACTGCGTGATGAGCAATGCTTCTTAATTCTCTACACACAATTACATTCAGCCCATCTAATCTGAGCTTCAGCTCTGCTTCTTGAAATGAACATCTGATGCAAGGCTGTTGGGTTTCCTTCAGTACATCAAGTCCTATTTTACACATTCCTCTTGACACACACTAGTTCAGATGCCCAAACGCCACGTCCTGGACAGTGATCATGACTTGTAGAAATGACTTGCTCTGCTTGAGGTCTTACACTTGTCTGCCATAGGGTTTGTCACTGAGTTAACTGACAACCCTCCTCTGCATACTAGACAAAAGAAACTGGTTTAAATTGATCTACAGATTTCCCACTGGAAAAACACACTCTTTAGAATTTACTGCAGGTCTCTGCATCATTCTAGAATTTAAGATGTAGTTCCTTTACACTGAACTTACATAAAGCATCTACCAATGAGTCATCCATCCATCCATTTTCTAAGTGCCTCTTCCGATTCAGGGTCACAAGGAAACCGAAGCCTATCCCAGCATCCAAAGGGCGCAAGGCAAGGTACACCCTGGACAGGACCCTGTCCATCACAGGGCATGCTGGGCTCAAGTCATTTCAATTTGCAGCTGACAATGAATGAACTAATCTGCAGAGTGAGCACACAACTGAGGAGGTTTGTAGTTGTATGATTACAACTTTTTTTTTGCCTGATGCCTTCTATTGTGAATCTTGGTATGTGATTTATGTTAAATTGCTTTTCTCACTGCTGTGTCTCCTGTGGGACACTGGTTTAAGTCTCTTGGTCCGCTCATTGTTGTAAATGGGAAAACTATTCTCACCTGACTTACCTGGTTAAATCAAGGATACGACAATATTTATTATCACTGTTGTTAAAACTAACACTGTGATTTCATGTGGCATAAGGCATAGCATAACCATAAGGTTGGTAACGTCTAAATTTCTCACTTCCGTCCGATGTTATGAGCTAACATCGAGTTATGAGAAATTTACACAGACCTTGTTAAGAATTCATGTGTGTTGTATTTATTTTTTAATTACTGGCGCACTGTGGGACTCACAAATGACCTCTGCTGATCAGCACTGATGTCATATTCCCTTCTAATGGCCTTGAAGTCAGGCCTAGTGTTATGTCGCGCACAGCATCCATTTGGGGTTTACAACACTGCTGCACTTTGGGTTTGGGAGTTACCGTTTTACGGTACTTAGGTGCCTTGGCGGGTTTTTGCCATTCTGTGTCAGTTATGAGTTATGCACAATAAAGAGCAGACGTCTGTAAAACCTGTCCGCCTCAGTCCCTGGTTTTCCGCAGTGTAACACCTAGTTCACAAGCAGCCTGACTCTTAGGTTTCCTCGGAAGGGTGCCCTTACAATGTGTACAACCTATCCCAGGTCACAACACAATTTCTTAATGTTAAAAATCTAACCACCCCTCGGAAATTGTTCTGACTGCTTCCTCCTTGCTCTCCACAACCAGATTTTTTCATACTGCCCTCATCCCATACAGAACTCCAGAAATGGGACTGCTGCACCTAGACTAATGATCTTGCAGGAGATATAGTCCTTAGTCCTTTATGATTAATTCCCATTTCCCTTCTGTCAAACAGCTGGGACCACCAGTCTATCACTCCCTTTGTTCTTCCACACACATCTCTCAGATGCCTCTCCAAACCTCTGCGTCCTGAAACAGAACACAGCTACTAAGTTTCATTACACGCTGGCCTTTTTTTTTTACACTAAAAAAAATTGTGGAATGAAAGGAAAAGAGATCGTAGGAAGGAAGTAGAAGTGATGGGAGAGGATGGCAGATGAAAGAAGAAGGGAAGAGAGGGGAAATGAGAGGAGGGGAATGGAGAGAAAGAGAGAGGATGCAGTCCAGTTTAGAGAATGAAGACATGTGGACACTGAAGGCTTTACTGAACCCTGCTGCACTAACGCTCTGCACGAAAGCAGCCATGTGGCAATGGCCAGCGCTCACAGACTTAAACCTTTTATTGAGAGAGGCAGCGAGCGAGAGCAGGAAGGGGGGAGGAAGGGAGGCCTGTCTGGTAATGCTCTCTCTCTCTCCAGGCCCAGTGCACTTGCTGCCAACGCCCTGAGAGCACACAGACAGCAACACAGCCACCCAGGAGAGGCCGAACGAGGCAGAACCATGCCTAAATTAATAAATGCAACCATGCCTCAATATACAGCACACACTTTCACTGGATATCACAAGCTTGTCCTAGAAAAGCTCCTTAATTTTACTGATATATATCCCATGATGTACTGTGGCACTTTGAAAGCCCAACCCCAGATGCAAAATTCTAACATTATAACAGACATAAAACGCATTTAACTTTCTTTTACATTTTGACTATGGCATTCAACAGCAAGTTCAAAAGTGAGTGTTAGAGTGTTAGAGGCTCACATGGCCCTGTTTACTCAGGTCACACGACACAGAAGGCTGACAGACACATTGCACACAGCAGTGATGCTCCTCCAGGAGATCTGCACCACAACTGTGAGCACTTCCTCCAGTAAATCTGCACAGCAATTTAACTTTATGTTGTGTAACCTTTTAAGAAAAAAAGTAATGCAAAAAGTTAACATGGCAGTTGAATTCACAATAATAATGCCTTACACTTATATACTGTAGCTCTTTTCTGGACACTCCACTCAAAGCACTTTACAGGTAATGGGAACTCCCCTCCATCACCTCCAAATTGCAGTCCTCACCTGGATGATGCAATGGCAGCCACAGTGCAGCAGTATGCTCATCACACACCAACTATCAGTGGGGAGGATTCATAGATGGGGATTATTAGGAGGCCATGATTGGTTAAGTCCAGGAAATTTAATTTGGGGGATAGTTTAGCAAAACTATCAATATTGAAAGAATTTGTATCATATTTATACTTTGCTTTTCATCTCTAAGGATCCCAAAGAGCTTCGCTTATAGGAGGGTTCATTGAGGAATTTTAGGAAGCCCTGGTTTTACAATCTCAGAGGAGAATTTAGCCAAGACACCCCTATCCTAACATACAGTGCCATGGGATCTTTAATTAAGAAAAGATCAGGCAATCAGTCAGGACTTCAGTTACAAATCTCATCCAAATGGATGGCCCCACATTAAAACTTCCAACAACAACCTGCTTTCTTCTTTAGAGGTCTCCCATTGTAGAGCTGACCAGGCCCAGCACTGCTGAGCTTTTGAGATCTGTCAAGATCGGGTGAGAAGGTGGTAGCACTGATGCCAAATCGTAGCAACAGGCAAGATGGGAACAACTGTTTCCACTTCCTTGCTCCCTTCCTTGCTCCAATTATTGCATGATTGCACTGGGAGAGACTTCCTGTTTTTCCAGCATCCCACAGGAGCTGTCACATGACAGCACAGGAGCTCCAGCTTGTGTCAGTACGTACCAGGGGTACAGCATATACTGGATGTACAATACAGTACATAGGCCACAACGTTCCTCAGTATTTCTAGTGAGTGGAAAGAATGCAGAATGTACACCAAGTAAAACTGTATGTAGTGTAATGGATATATTCTGTTCATATCAAACATACGGCACGTATATTCCAGGGGTACAGTATACAGTATACAACAGAAGTACTGTATATACATTAGAGAAGTGAAAAAAGAGAATTCAAAGATTTTGCAAAATATTTAGTTATACATAATTTGCACACCAAAACAGTCTATATACTGGAGTAGAACAGTACACAATGTCCCTATCAGGCATCTGCCCTGGACAGACTGCGGTTATTACAGATGTGCAGAGTGTGACCTCTGTCTGGCAGCCAATGAGGTTATCACAGCAAGAGTATTTAACTTACAAACCCTACTATATGTAGTTCATATCTTAATTGACTTGTCCAAATACCAGCCCTCCAGTCAGTGAAGTCACAAGAGCTGTGGTTTGTAGCCCATCCCTGAACAATAAGCCCACCAATTCACCAATAAAGTCCGCAAACTACTGTACATACTGTATGCATGCCTCAATGACCATGTGTTTTTGTGCAAACACAATGGATATGATTGCAAATTTTAAAGTAGCATGCTCTCTTAAGGATAATTCTAAAAATGCTAAGAACGTCTTCTTAAAGTCCTAAACATTTGTTATTTGTTATACATTGTACAAAAATAAAGTTAATAAAGTCAAGCGAATAAGATGTCCAGTGACAGAGGGTGATCCCTCACACACACTTACTCTCGCCTTCCAGTTTGTCCGGGTTGCGGCTCCACACTATCTGCCGGGTATCTTGTTTGATCTGGAAAGTTCTCCTCTCCGGTCGCTGGGATTTTTTCTGGTAGAAGACGGTCATCACAGTCCCGATCGCAAGGCTCCGCAGAATCCGCGACCCGACCTCGGCCCAGTCTAGCAACCTGGGCGAACTTGCGGGCCCGGGTCCGTTTGAGTGTTCCTCCAGACAGCCATTGAGGCTCCCGCCGAACCGAGCCGCGCACATCGTCAGTGCATGGCAGCTGGGTACAGAACTGAGCTCAAATACCTTCAGAGGACTGAAGTCAAGGTACTTGTGTGTTGAAAATATTTAACTTGTAATGGCTGTTACAAAACTAGAGGATGGATTAATAAATCAATAAATATGTGAAAAATGAATACTTCATATAAAATAAAATAACGTTTAAATGATAGTAGCTATATTGAAACGGAAAAACGGGTTATGTCGCCTATAATACTACATTTAAATTATAAAATGATTAAACCTCTGCTACTAACTTTTTTTGATGATTACCTTCATGAAGAACAGTCAAGGTTTCGAACTTCATTCGAAGTACGACTTTCCTAAATGATTAAAAAAAAGTTTAAAATAGTGGTCTCTTATTAGTCTTGTAATATTAATAGAAACACTAATAATAAAATACGTATGGACCCGAACGTAAGGAGGAAAAGTTACAAAAGTATAAAGGGAGGAATCCGGATTTTGGCTTCTTCCTCTCCACAAAAAATGAGTGTAGTTTTTGTTTTTGCTGTAGGTCCTAGTCTTCTTTTTTCACAGACTGACAGTACCTGAAGATCCCTTCAAAAAGTGCAGGGTGCCGTGTCACACTGCTCCTTGCGCTGCCGAGGAGCTGGGACTGGCTAGTGGTGAGACGGTGCACCCATCAAACGCACGCACTGCACAGAGTGTGCCAAGAGCCTCCAGCCACAGAACAAGACACGCGACTGTCACACCTCTGATTACCAGGAAAGGGAAAACAAAAACAAAAATATGTTCTTTCCGGAGATGAAACGGAGAGCACGAAATAAACACGTACACGGCAAAAAAAAATACTATAATTGCTGCAATTCTCTCACCACTAATCCTGCTGATGTGGCTGTGGAGGAAAGGAAAGCAGCGAGGAAAAGGGGAGAGACAAGTGACAGGGATTGGGAGTCGAGTCTCAGACAGCCGAGACGGACAGAGCGTGGTACAGAAACTCCAGCGGTGGTCGCTCAGCCTGCTCCATCCCACCGCGCGTCCCTCTCTCTCACACCGGGCTGCCTCCCTCCTCAGACGGCGACATTCCTGTGAAGGCCCCGCTGCCTGCCTGCCAACGCAGCTCTGGTGTACATGTTCCTGGTACGGTATTTTCCCAGACCGACTAGCGTATGGTATTATCTGCACCACCTCAGCCTTTTTTATTCCAAGTCCTCTCTCTCTTTCAGAGAATGGAAGGCGCCTGTAGAGGAAACGGGCGCAGTAGGCCGGAAAGAGATCAGCTGGATTTTTTTTTAAATATTACGGTCAAGATGCAGAGAGAGAGAAGAAAAATACACAGAGTAAGGAGAAAGAGAAATACTCTGGAGGTAAAGGATAGATTAGAAACATCGACATCTTCAGGCACAAACCTGTAACAACAACTGTAATCTGTGTGACAGTTGACCGCATCCATGCCTCAGGAATGGGGAAACTCATCTTCATACTGTACCTTGATGATTAACGCTTCAAATTTAAGTTAAAGTTTTCAGGCTCAGCTGCAGGAAAAAAGTAACATACCATAATGATCCACAACAGCAGTTATTTATTGCACATTTTTTTCTGATGTTAATATTCATCAGGCCTTGCCAACTTCTGCACTCTGGAGTTTCCATTTAGAAACATATTGTATTTTTAATGCTGTAAGATCTACAATTTTCATTTATGACTATGTTTAACTTATTAAGATAAGATTGAAGGAGAAGTCAGCTTTACAAAAGTCATTTCGATCCACTATGGCACTCGTCCCACTATTTAAAGAATGATTTTAGCGTGGGATTTCATAAACTGCAGACTCTTCCATTAATTCAAGTTAAAAAATGGTTTCTGATGAAGCACAAACATTTGAACCTTATCTCACAAAACTGGAAGAAAAAGACGTAAAAAGTGCTTTAAGAGGATATCGCTGAAAAACAGGAAACAAAGAGAGACACAGAGTTCACAGGTTTGTCGTTCACGAAACGGAGCTAAAATAACTTTTTTAGCTTTGTTCTGGAGTAGACTTAACTAACTGAGGATTTTATCCTGCTATTCAAAATCCCGGGCACACCTTAACCCAATGTATGTAATGCCCATGTATAAAGTAAAAAGAGAAATGAGCTCAAGACAAACCAATTTATAAGCTGAGACCCTGTTTGGGTCTGTTTGTATTTTCTTTGTATGTATTGTATTTTGGGGCCATTTGGGACCTTTCCTGCTTTCCTGCTTTTACTTATGCAGTTCCTGTCTTACTAATGTAACAATAAATCACCACAGGAGAGAGCATCTTTGCAGAGACATCAAGGACAGCCTCAAGACCTCAGTCCTTCCTGCATCTTACTCTTCAGTTATTGCGCAGATGTCACCTTTTGCTAAATTTCCACATTCATCCATCCATTTTCTAACTTCTTCGCACAATCCAAGGTCGCAGAGGAACTGGAGCTTATCTCAGTAAGCAACGGGCTCAGCGTATGATACACCCTATGTGGGGCACCAGTCCATCACAGGATCACACACAGAGATGTACTGCACAGACTTACACCAGGGAAAATTTTCCCAGAAGCCAGTTCACCTATCATGATGTCTTTGGACTGTGGGAGCACACAGGTCTGGAATGGAACCCAGGGCCCCAGTGCTATGAGGCAGCTAGGCTAACTGCTGTGCCACCACGCCACTCTAAATTCCCCCAAATTAGTATTGTAATTTTTTTTCCTCCCAGCAACAATTCAAAGACATGTCTAGCATATTTTAACTTGCTAGACAAAACTCACAGAAAGATTGTTAAAATTTGATTGGCAAAGCTATTTCGCACTTCTCCATCACTTCTGATGTGCAGTGCACTATGGCTTGTGCTACTTAATGGTTGCTGTGTGTCACCCATGCAACTGTTTGCTTCACTTTGATGGTGGATAAAGTGGATCCCCTCCTGTGTGTAAGGTGCTTTGGGATGAAAACCACAATATAAATGCAACTATTATTAATATTAGAAGACAGTGAAAAGTCTACCAGATATTAATTTTGAACCAAAGTAAAGCAAAAATTAAAGTGGTGAAAAAAGACACAATGAGTCTTATACCAATATAAAATATGGTCAAATGGACAAAAATAAGGAAAATTAACGATTTGAAAAAGTGTAAATGTGTTTCAAACTAAATCAATTTACAATGAATTTACTCAGACTGATATGCTGGTGCTGTTTGTGATCAGGTTTAATGTGGGGACAGTATTTGATCAAGGTTCCATTTTGATGTTAAGTTTGGGTTTTGTTTTTTCCAAAATGCACTAAAATGATTTATTTTCTTGCCTGTTTCCTTCCCCTGGGGAAACCTAAACTCACCTGCAATTCAAGTGAGTGTGAAGGTCAGGCTGTGAACGTCTGCAGGGGGGGTGACATCACTGTATCGCAATGCCTGATCAGTTCCAGATGTACACACTGGGCGTGAGAGAGAACCTCCAGCCACTGGCTTGCTGCCATCCAATCATGGCGCACAGACAGCAAACCCTCCATCTCTGTGCGCAGGCCTTTGGCTTGCAGGCTGTGTTGTTTGCCCAGACTACACATCCCTCGTGTGTATGTCTCTGTTCCTGCACCATTCCTCCCTGCGTACCTCTCTTTGCATATACTCAGTGCGTGACTGAGCCCATTTCATAACATACAACTCAGCAGAGCAAATGAGTTGGCAGTTCGCCTGGCTGAAAAGGATCCAAGCTTGTCAACATGACATCCACGGATCTCTGCTTTGTCTTTGTAATATTTCAAGAGAAACTATTGTATGTTCATCTCCAGCTTTTTTTTTTTGCAAATAGGCTTTCATGGAAGGTTGGGATTTTGAAATGTCAGCATTGAACAGAACAGCTCATCAAATCACTTGTATTTAAATTGTTTTCTATAAGCTTTTTAAATAGTTGAATTATTCCACCTGTATCTTTTTGATATACAGCACATAAAATATATATAATGAACTTTCATACTAATGATCTGTGATTATTAATGAGAAGAGAAGATTCTCTTTTTCTTAATAGTTCAGTGTTTCAGCTGGCTTAAATGTTTTAATTAGCAAGCTAGGAGTACAATCACAACAAGCCTTGCAAAAGATCTTGTGATCCAGCTGCTGGTCAACCAGATGTATGTTTCAGTCTGTACTACAAACTATAGTACTTTGTCAACAGAAACAGATACAAAAACACCTGTATTGCTTGTGTGTCTAAAACACACGCAATACAATTCAAACAGAAATGTAAGGTCAAAGTGAACCTTTAGATTTTTTACAGTGTTACTGTCTGTGGGACTTTGTGACACATCTCACAGGCACTCTGAACATTAGCATTTAGATACTTTTTGCATATCCAGTTTGGAACTGACGCAAGAACTCAAAGAATCTTAAGTTCCATCCTTCAACCCCGAGCAAACAATTGTATTCTATGGCAGTGTTCTTCAACACACGGGGCAGCAGGTTATACAGGTCTCTCTAAATCTTGTTGTATTATGTACCCCCTAGTGTGAAATCGTCTGTCCCGCAATTCCTTGAGTCCAGGGCAAAGTGCCCTCAGTGAGGTCTTCACACTCATAGCGCAAACATGCTTGACAGTGCAGATCGTTGATCCGGCAGAAAGAAAAGAATGCAGAAGGAAGGGACCAGTAAAACAGGAGGCTGAGGATAAAGCAAGGGGGTGAAGAAAGAGAATAACAACAAGGAGAAAGGGGTGGTGAAGAAAGGAGGGCATTTAACATGTATACTGTACATGTTGTGTCAAATTCCCACTTCAGGTAGAGTGGCTCAGGGAATCTGGGCACAAAACACTCGGAACACAACCACTTAATCATGCTGATGACATCATTTTAAGGCTTTTAACATTAATAAACCACATTTTTAAATAAAATTAAGAATCCTATTTACTATTGAAACCCTGACTACTTCCCAACCACCAATATCGTTGTGATGTCCTACCCCCACCCTTGTTTTACATAATAACACCCATGTGGGAATGTGCATTCCAAAGCATTGCTCAATAATACAATAAGTGATGAGCATCCACCAGGCGAAACAGTGAGGGAGGAACAGTGAGGGGGTGAGGGAGGAGGATGAGGGTATGAGGGAGGAGAAATGAGAGGATGAGGGAGGAGCAGTAAGAGCATGAGGGAGGTGTTATCAAATAGTAGTGAGGACCTTATTCAGAAAACCAGGGCAATCTCAGAAGGCGTAGTCGAAAGTACAATCCGAGGTTCAAAAGCCGAAGATAAACAAACCGGTGCAAAAGTACAAAAACCAGAAGCGGAGCCGTAAGCTGTGAGGAAGCCGAGAGTCAAAACCAGAACGAGAACTAAAGTACCAAAACCAAAACCAGGAGACATAGAAGGAGAACAAACCAGTCAGGAAGCCAAAAACCAAGTAGTAAGACCAATGAGAATCGGAGTAGCTCTAGGCAGAAAAACCCTACTTCTGAGCACAGGGGAGAGTGTGAAGCAGCATTAAATATGCTGGGGTAAATGGGCTAATTGGGAACTGTGCTGGAATGCGAGGTAGAATGACAAGTCCTCTGTGGACGTGGCGTAACAGGAGGAGGATGAGGAAGGAGCAGTGAGGGGGTGAGGGGAGGAGCAGTCAGGGGTGAGGAAGGAGCAGTGGAATCTTTTTTGTGAAACAGGACCTGTTTCAACTGAAGGATGGTACCTCCTGCAATACAGTGGTGCTGGTCACCATTCTGGAGCTGCAGTTTAGAGACCTACTTATAACGGCGATGTAAGAAGCTGTTACTGGACTAAAGCAGTTGTTTGGTTGTACAAGGACAATTTTCAAGAAAATGAAGCTCTTTCTGCCGGCTGAGATAGTTTGTAGGGGGCTGTGACAGGTCATGTGACATTTTTGACAAAGGGAAAAGGGAGAGCAGGGGGAGATGGAGGAAAAATAGGGGGAAGAAGCAGTGGCAGGAAAGGAAGAGAGGAAGGGAGAAGAGCTCATTAAGAACCAACACATTTTTACAACGTTATGTAATTTGACAACAGGTACTATACAGTATGTGTAAGTGATTTATGAATATTTCCACTGCTGTGCTTTTGAGACTTCAGAGAAATAGGTTTCACTGACAAAATATTGCTGTCTAGTGTTTGAGTCCTTTTTGTCATTCCCCACTCTCCCTCAATTTCCTCTTTCTGAGGACAGTTTCCGTTGTGCCATATTTCTACATTTTTTAATAATCAACTTCACTGTGTTTTGGGCAATACGTAATTGGAAATTTTCTTATACCCTTCCCCTGACTGGTGCTTTTCAAAAACTTGATCCCAGAATTACTTTGAAAAGTGCCTGTCTTCATGATGTAGTTTTTGTGGGGAGCTGTACTAATCAACTGTGGGACCTCACACTGATACTGTAGGTGTATTTTGCTTGAACTCATGTGAAATATCCTAATTCACACAGGTGGACATTCAACAACCCCCTCAGTTCAGTTTTCTCTCAAGCTTTCTTCCATTTTTTATGTTGGAGGAGAACTTTGGGATGAAAAGTTATTTTATTAAACAATCTATTATATTGTACTTATTGGACACTGCAGGCCCTGAAAGATGCCTCACACTTCCAGACTGTGGCAGGGATCCCCGCTCAGCAGATGGGCTCTCACCGGCTGCTCCAGCAGCTCAGAGAGGGCCAGTGCAAGTAGGTGGAGGAGAGAAGAGAATTGGAAAATTGGAAAGAGGATTACGTATAGAGGAAGGTCAGGGAACAGGAATGTATTAAGAGTCCAAATTCTTTACATGGTGAATCTGCCTCTATTGGCATGAAGACCACCATGTGGTCTTTGCACACTGTAGTCCCTCCGCAAGCTGTAGCTGGTCTGTCACAGCCAGGAGGCTGTTAAGACCAGCACTTCCACAGGACTGAAGGGCAGCCACAGCTCGCCCTCTCTCACCTGTCTCAGGCCCAGCCCCAGCAGGGCACACAGACACCCGCGTCAGGCTAGGCACAGGGTCACCAAGGAGCTGCGAAGGGCCCCAGCCTGCGAGGAAAGCAGGGTCTGTTCGGCACACAGAGATGCACAAAGGCAGTGGAGTATCTGAAACTTTCAATCATAAGCTGAAGAGGATGGTGCTAAAACATGGGAAGAGAAGTGCTGCTAGTACTACATGTGTCAAGGTGCAAAAGTGCTACAGTAGATTAATATACAATTACACAGATCAGGCTATTGCTGGGGGAAAAGGCAGAATGACTAACAAAGGCAAAGAGAAGATTCTCTATTCTCCACCTCACGTACTGTGTAGTGGGGCTGCTGGTGCAGAACGGTTCCTGAGCATTTCCCTGGTATGTGCCTCACATTAAGGAAGTGGGTGCCCTTTTGTGCGTGAAGCTATCTGGGATCCTCCAACATGAAAATCATGATAGAACTTCTTACATTTATTAATTTCTATGACAAATCTGCATTTATAACTTTCCACTTGTATTTTGGTAATCTGCATGATGGACCTAGTGTGAAAGTAATTGGATCATATCTTCAGTAAAATGCCAGTGAGCTTTTTCCAGAGGATTAATCCCAGAACCAATATCCTATCTTTGAAGAAGCCCTAATCCTTTGAGACCAGCCTCCCCACCCTCCCAGCCCAAGCAACCCAGTCGGACACAGTGGGTGTGCACAGAGCTCCGCTCTTTATTGAAAACCGTCAGAAAAACAGCACCAACAGTCCAGGTCTTTCTCAGATCTTGTTGAAAGCAGCAACGTCAACACTCTGGACCTGGAAAAGACGGGAGAGAAAAATTGAGGAAAAATTACTTCAAAGCACTTCATGGCAGAAAGACATTCTAGAGGACAGAAGTGCATATTTATTATTGCATATCCAAGTCCCAAAAACAACACATTTAAGAAGTACACAGCTATTATGAATCAAGGTTCACTTCAAATATACCATATTTCTATCTTGTGCTAGCTCTGTCCAGCTTGCAATCTGTAATACTCTGTATTATGTAATCCTTTATATGCAGAGTGTTATTACTAATAAAAAAAATGAAAGGTCTGCTGAAATACGACTGGTTATTCCGACTTCTCAAAAACAAATGCAGGTGCTAAATGCAGATGGTTTAAAGGATGTAATGTGTGTTCTATGTCCCTATCTCATGCATGTGAGTATATGCTCTTCCTACAGTAGATTCTTACATAGTCCTCAAATTTGGTGATTTCCTCCTCCAGCATGTCAGTTCCCACTTTGTCATCTTCCACCACACATTGGATCTGCAGCTTCCGGATCCCATAGCCAACAGGCACCAGTTTGGAGGACCCCCAGACCAGTCCGTCTGCCTGTACTGACCGCACACACTCCTCCAGCTTGGCCATGTCCGTCTCATCGTCCCACTGTGGAGAGAGAGGGAGGGGGAATGTGAGGGAAGCAGAGGAGAGAGTGGAGACCAAAGGCCCATGCAGCTCTAACTTGGCCATTTCCGTCTCATCGTCCCACTGTGGAGAGATATTGACAAAAGAGTATAAGAAAGCGTGACAGAAAAGTGAGTGTAAGAATGACTGATGGAGCCATACCGGCTTGACATCCAATAGAATGGAGGACTTGGCGATGATGGCAGGCTTCTTGGCCTTCCTCTCGGCATACTCTTTCAGCCGCTGCTCCCGCACTCGCACGGTCTCCTCATCCTCCTCTTCATCACTGCCGAACAGATCCAGGTCGTCATCGTCGTCATTGTTCTCTGCTGGTGCTGCGGAGTTCAACTGCTGCACTGGAGCCTCCTGAGAGAGAGTTGTTGAGGATCAACGAGTCTGTATCATCCGTGCTCTGTGTTTGGTAAAGGATGTAACAGTACAGCAGCTCTCGGAACTGCAACCATTTCTTCGTACCATGGATACCAAGTTCTTGGGTTACCACAGTGCAAAAATAGCTCAAGAGAACTGGCATCTACTGCTTCTCTATCAGTGTGACTTCTGCAGTGTATTCAGTGCAGTTAAGAGCTGGGATAACAGTAAGGAAGCAAAATAAACAATGTATAGTAAACAACGAGACACAAAAAATGACCCCTTTCCGTGGCATTATAAAACATTCCACTAGATCATGAATTTTAAACCTTGGTCCTAGAGGGTGCCCATCAAGCAGGTACAGTAGGTCATTTAATCACTAATTTCTAAAGATCTGAGACTAAAGTACGCCTCTGCCCTCAAGGACAAGAGGGCTCTTAATTGAACACGTTACTTGCTTGATTCATCAATATCTCTCATGTGTTGCCTATCTGTAAAAAACAAACTGGACTGGGGCTCTCTAGGACTATTAGAGAACCCTGCAGTGGGGTTCAGGGGGATGGAAAACCAGCGACAGAAAACACAGGATTTCAGTAGTAGCTGAATAGTGGGGACACTCCCTGCCTCTTCATGTATGAAGGTATTACCTATTTCTCTGTAATGTAGGTCAGGTACTTAAGTATTAACACTAACATCCAGAATAAAATCAATTGCAACATAATATGAATTTTTATTGAAGTAAATTTAATATCACTGCAGCAATAAGGCAGCTCTAAAGTTCAGTTTAAGCATTTCAGTATGATTATACACAAATAAAGGACATGATACTAAAGGAGCTTTGTCATTTATTAAAGATATGGTTACAAAATCAAAATTAAACAAATATCACAAGTCAACACAAAATGTCTTAAAACACATTTTAATTCTCTTCTTTTACTATTTTGTGTCTAGCTGTCTTTTTGTTTATGTACCATAAAAGGCACCATATAAAATAAAGATGATGTACCCCATGCCCCTTACCTGACCCCGATTCTAAAATAAATCTGGGATGAAGGATGAGCTATGATCTCACCACCCCGAGACCTACTTCCTCATCTTCCGACCAGCTTCCCACTCACCTTGGCTGGGACTCCAGGGACAGCTGCTGGCACGCCCCCTGCTGGTGACTTCTCTAGTACTGAAATTCGGGACTCCAGCTTGAATAATGCCAGCCGGAGGTCTTCCACAACTGAGAGAGAATGAGAAAACCTTATTTTTTGGACATCTGGAATTCACTGCCCAATTCCAACACCTGTTTATCATTGCAGTTTCTGCAATAAACCTTATGGGAAAGAGACAGGCTAGATGAATATAGTCATCCATGACATTCTCTTCAAACTACACGGTCTAGAACTCGAGCATCAGATGTTGTTTGGTTGTAGCTCACACTGACAACGCTGCAAGCTCAAAGCCACAAACATCACTGTTGTACAGAAAGCTAAAAAAAATAATAATTTCAATCCCAGTCATTGACTTTTGGCCAAACACATGGGGAACCCTAATTACAGCCCAGTTTTAAAAAAGCAATCTCTAATCCTCAAGCAGGGACTTTTACGGCTAAACCTTAATTTACAAGGCCAATTTGTGCACTCTCAAGGACAAACACGATCAGTGTCACTTCTCCCCTTCAGCCTTCTGGAATATGGATGCTGTATTTTTGATGGTAGGTACAAGCAGCTTGGTGGCCCAAGGTACGACAGACAGACCTTTGTGCAGACTCTGGTTCTCCAGCTCTAGGCTTCTCATCCGAGAGAGCAGTTCAATCTGATCTCCAGCAGGACACACCGCGCTCTGCAAAAAATGTTACATACAGCACACAGTCAACAGCATGCCTGTGGCTTTGTCTTTGCTCTTTTGTTTCTGATGAGGTCTGTTAAAGAAAGTCTGCTTGTTAAAGAGGCTTATTTTAAGGAGGCAGGGCTCTCCACATATACCTACGCGATGATGCCTTTAAAAGTCTGGAGCCAACTCAACCCACAACTCACAGAGAACTGAGAAAAGGCAGCAAAAGAAGGAAGGAACTGGTGGGAGAGAGGGATGTGGAGGAGAGACAGACAGAGTGCCAAGGCAGGGGAGAGAGGACATGGAAGCGCAGAGGTGTCTCCAAATCACCCCTATCTCCTTTCAGCAGGGGCCTGCACTGCCTATATTCCCGGCTGCAGGGAGTTACAGGTGGAACGTGAAGGACTCTTCTAAATACAAGTGGGAACTTTATTACAGCTCTTCCCCCCAACTGCGAGGAAGGTAGAAGCACTATCAGCGGCCTTTGGTGATCATCCACATTTGTGGAATGGTAACTGCTTTTCAGGCTTTGGAGATCTGGACGGGGCAGCAGAAATCATTAGACTAGACCGTATAAAAACGGGACGCTAGGAGTCATTGGTGTGCAGCAGGTGGCGCCACCCTCTCTTGGCAGTGAAGTGGGAGGAGGAAGCACAGGGCACTTACAGGCTGGGCAGGGCAGCGCAGAGGGGCATGCGGGGGCCCAGAGGGGTGCAGAGTCGTCCTCATCTGGAAAGGTCAAGGGTAGGATAGCAGAGAGGGGGCAAGGGAGGAGAAAGTTGCATGAAGCTTTGACAGGAAAGAGACGAGAGAGTGTATTTGTATTCACTAATCGTCACCAGAACCAACTAATTTACTGAAGCTACCTGTTAGCTCTCCTAATGAGCAAGAACGACGTGGTGTAAATAAAATAACACAGGCACTACAAGTTCAAACTGTTTAGTAACCTTGTTAAACAATTTCAATCAAGTTAATTTTTAAGTATAAAAGCTTTAATAAAGGAATGATGCTTTCAAACATCTGTGTGCATGTGACGTCAGGGAGTGAATTCAAGCACAGAGTGGAGCGCAGCACAGCACAGAAAACATGCAGGGGAGGAGGAAATCAGACAGGCACATGCAGGCTGAGAGCCGGCAGCCGAGCCCCCCCCAAATTTCAGACTTTTCACTGTGTCTCTTCACACACGCCAGAGACCTGCGGTTTGTTAAATTAGTGTCACCATACTGACTGGATTGTACAAGCTCAACGGGACTGGATCAGGTGAGTGGTTCACCAAAGCTTTAAACTGGTTATTGTTTAACCTGACCCTTAAAACCAGCAGCAGAACCTATAAAAATGAGATGACTAAACCATTTGTCATTAACATTCAGGCCCTCATTTCCTGTTTTTTTTTTTCCCCCCGATTTCAATACTTAGAGAAACAAACTGCGAATGTTTTAAAACACTTCTGAAACAATTAATGTGCAACATAAAATCCTCACAACAATGATGCCTCAAAAAGCAATACAGAGCAAAATTCATCTTTTTATTTCCAGCCTCCATTGCCTCCGTTTATCTCTCTGCAAACGTTGCAAAGAGACCTGGACGAGGGACGGAGCTTCATCTTTAAACAGGAGCACACATATACACAATCACACTGACAACCCTGGAGAAACACATATGCAGAAACACACGTAAATAGCCACCCAAGCAGGATTGCTGCAGAGCTGGTGTGGAAATGGACTCCAGTGTTAAGGCCAGCTGGGAGCTTCACACTGGGGACGATCTGCACTGGTCCTGGAGAGCCCCAGGCCAGCAGGTTTAAGGCTGTTAACAAGGTGTACAAGGTTTGTTTTTTTAATGATGGAAGTCAACAGTCATTCTGACCAATTAAGTCCGCAAGGGCTCAGGATGGAAAGAAAACCCCAAAGCTCCCTGGCTTTCCAGCACTGGCTCTGGCCTTCACAGCTCCAGTCAGGGGTGAAAATCCCACTCCCTCTGCACAGCAGTCCATTTCAGGTTTCGAGGGGGGCAACTGACATTGGATTCATAAAAGCAGAAAGATTTAATACGAATTTATCTCCATGTACATAATGTCTTTTGAAATTTACTCAAATTTAACCATGAAACTGAAAACGCTGCGGTGCAACAGATGCTGGATCTTCATCCTGTGCTGCTTCCTAAACCGGAAAAACAAGTGCAGAAACCCAAGTGATGCCCACAAGGGCAGAAACAGCTTCTGAATCTTGCTGACAAGAGAAGCGCATCAAGTGACAGTTTAATCACTAACCCAGAGACCACCCCTGTTCCTGGAGAACTACAATCCTGCAGGTTTTACAGGTCTTTCGAAAACTCCAATCACTAAAATAACTGAAACCAATGGAGCCATGTAAACCCAGCCATTTAGAAAATAAGTGTATCCCGGGATCAGGGACAAAATGAAACCAAAACTGAAAGAACACCCAAAACAGCCTCCCTGAATTTGTCATTTTAGGTTCTCAACACTCAAGTAATCGATAATCTGAGACACTAACTTCTCAAGCTACAGTATCTCCAGGCTGCAAGGGCCAGTTTTACAACAGCATCCTGAGCACTTTAACTTACAAAAGCACCAAACCACAAAACTGAAAGGTGGATTTTCACAGAAATTCTCCTATTAAAACAAGCTTTTCCTAGATCACTTTAATCAACAATATAAAAGTGAGTTTAACAGGCCAACTAGGATTGCTGATGTGAAACTGTCCCCTTTCCCAGCATAGTGCAGAACCGCCAGAGGACTTCCCCATGAAGAATCACTGCAGCCTAAACCTGGCCAAATAGCCAAGCTGTTTCAACTGCAGGGAGTCAAATTTCCATAGAGCAAACGTGTCCATACCTGGAGCCCTGACAGTTAAAATGAATGCCCCCAGACAAAGCCCCAGGCAGAGCAGTTCAGCTTTCCCAAAACATTCCCATGACTATGAATTAGAGCAGCAACATGTGCTCAAGGTTTACATACACAAATGTTTGTATCTGCTCCACATTGTGCTTGGGGTTTTGTGCAAAGTATGTTTATGGCAGGGTTGCTATTTTATTACGAAATAGCATACTAACACATTTCCTTTTGGCATGCTTTGGTGTAGGACGTGTCAGCAGCTGGAATGCGTTTTGTTTTTTGGATGGATCTCCGAAATGCTTCCCCAGAAAACAAAGATGCATTTCTGAACAACTGAGACTTTGGACTTCAAGATGAAGAATGGACACCCCTCCAGACTAACTCCAAACTTCCTTAAACGAAGAGGCACACTTCTAAATTTTAACAGTTTTTAGAAAATTACAAACGAAACTAAAAATAAAACGGGGAAGCCGAAATTACTTTCATTTCAAGCCCAATGGTGCACATGAAATTGGTCGTTGCTGTCAGGTATGCATTCAGGGACCGGGGAAAGACAATGACATAGCGCAGAGGGACTTAGCTATATTCTACACTCACTACAGTGGAGGCGTCCTTAATTACGCAACTCATTGACAAGGGCAATAAGCTTAGGTGAAAGTCCTGCAATGGAGTGGTTTAAAGGACCATGCATTTGATTAACCCTGTTCCACACAGATGGCATGCATGGAGGGAGTTTTTAAGAGAGACTGAGCGCTTGTGTAAATATAATTCTTCTGCCCATATGCAACATGAGAGAGGGATTAGCCTGCTTTATCATTGCATGCCTCTGCACGTTGCAGTCTGAAGAGGCCGAGGGCAGCTTGTTCTCTTGTGACCTGTAATGGGAATGATGGAGATGTAAGTGTCCCATAATCATCATTTAGCCACCCTCCATTTTTTCTCCTTTTAATATTTATGAGATGTGAGTCTTTCTGGCAGCAATATCCCCGAAATAAAAAAAAATAATAATTTCAAAAAGTCTTCCGCACGTACCGCTGGAGCAGCACGTGTATTTAGTCAAGGAGGTCAAGCTAGGTTCCAAAATTGTGAACTGTGACGTCAATATCATTCCTGTCATTTTTGTTCATTACTCCCTTTTATTAAAACAAGTTTCAGACTTCGGCTGTGCTGTGAACATTTCTCAAAATCAGACGACCACGACGGAGTCTGAGGAAACTGCTTTGAGTGGCAACTCTGCCACTTTAAAAAAGAAAGCCAGAAAAGACATCAAACTGTCTAAAAAGGCAGCATGTCTCTCATTTTGTAGGCCTTTAGAACACTATTTGCAGGAAATATACTGTATATTGACTTGTACTTGATTTGGAAAGTAAAAACGCAATCAAGTTTCAAAAGCTCCCATGGACACAAGAGAGCCATTCTGTGACAGCGGGCGGGCAAGCAATTACAACGAGCGCCCGCACGAGTCTGGGTGGAGCAGGGCAGCTTGAAGAGGTCATGGGATGAGCCGAGAATGAATGGTGTCCACAGGACATGAGGGCAAGGAATAGAGGGTGTGTGTTAATTATTAATCACAACAAGAGGGAGGGAGGGCAAGAGGCCAGCTGGGTGAGAGAGTGCAGTACTCACTCCGGCTAGGGATTTCTGGATATTCTCACGGGCTCTTGCAATGTCCTGCAGGATGGTATTTGCTCCAGTCTCCTGCAGAACAGGGGCAGAAAGAAGCAGGTCAAACACAAGCCAGCACACAGACACACTACACTCCGACCTCACACACTGACACTTGCAACACAGCTCTGATTGTACTTGCAGAATTGGGCTGCAAGACACGCATAGTGCAGATTACATCTACAGATGTACCGCAGCTCCGACTGCGTACACACACAGCACGGTTCTGACTACACCCACAGACTGACCACAACTCCGACTGCGCAGACACACAGTACGGTTCTGACTATATCCACAGACTGACCGCAGCTCCAACTGCGCAGACACACAGTACCATTCTGACTACATCAACGGACGTACCGCAACTCTGACTGCGCAGACACAGCGCGGTTCTGATTACAACCACAGATGTACTGCAACTCAGAATGTGCAGACACAGAGCGCAGTTCTGACTACAACCACAGACGTACAGTACCACAACTCCGACTGTGCAGACACACAGCGAGGTTCTGACTACAACCACAGACGTACCACATCTCCGACTGTGCAGACACAGAGTGCGGTTCTGATTACATCCACACACTGACCACAACTCTGACTGCGCAGACACACGGCTCGGTTCTGACTACAACCACAGACGTACCGCAACTCCGACTGCGCAGACACACAGTACATTTCCACAGACGTACCACAAATCCAACTGCAGACACATGGTACGGTTCTGACAACATCCACAGACCGACCGCAGCTCCAACAACACAGACACACAGTACCATTCTGACTACATCCACAGACGTACCGCAACTCCTACTACGTAGAGACACGGCACGTTTCTGACTACATCCACAGACTGACCACAACTCCGACTGCGCAGACACACGGCGTGGTCCTGACTACATCCACAGACTGACCACAACTCC